TTTCGAATTGGAACGGATTCCTGGTAGTAAGAACCGGGCGGACGGGCTGAGTCGGATCAACTGGGATAAGCAGGAAGGGGAGGCGGTGGAGAATACGCCCCCAGTTGATGGATTTCTAGATCAGGAAGAAGATGTTCGTCTTCATATCAACAAATGGTCGCCGCGAGTACCTAGCTGTGTAGGCTATCCTATCTGGCAAGCGCCGAAGGGGTATGAAAGGAGGAATGAGTTAGTCCTTAAGCCCTTTAAAGAAGAGGATCCCTGGAGCGGTAAGGATGTTCAGTGGATGATGGAATTAGCGTTGGCCAGCTCGCATAGCCTGGTGGAGGATATAAGGACGATTGAGGAAGGACCTGGCCAGGTAAAACGGCATGAGGACTTGATTGGAGGAATGTATCTCCTCGTCAATACGTTATTGCAGGAAAGCCTAGACCAGTCAGGCTCGTTGAGCTCGGCAGGGAATGTGGACGAAATACCCGAGAACCAGGACGACGAGTTCGAAAAAGGGAAAATTAAGGAGGCTTTTCGTGCAGAGGAGTACGACGGGATCTACCTAGAGCTGGCGCTTCTTCTGTCATGTGAAATGCGGCTAAGAGATGCGAGCGATAGGGCTCAAAGGATGCTGCAATGCTACTTAGTGCGAGACGGTCACCTTTTTGTGAGAAAGGAAGTGGGGAATCCCAGGAGGGTCGTCTGCGGTAGGAATCGTCAGATCGACGTCGTAGCAGCACTACACGATGGCATTGCAGGAGGGCATCGAGGGGTACAAGCCACATATGCCAAGATAAGTGAGTTGTACTACTGGGATGGAATGATGGACATGGTCGAAAAATTCTGTCGATTTTGCGTACCCTGCCAGGAGAGATCCCGTTTAAGCCAGGGAGAGCCGCTGCATCCAAGGATAGAACGAGAGGTAGGGGCCGTAGTGCATCTCGATCTGCTTTTTATGCCACTTGGGGATCAGGGCTATAACTATATCTTCGATGCGCGCGATAACCTGTCTGGGTTAGTAGACGGGCGTGCTATTCGCACAAAGACCGGGTCAGTCCTGGTGAGCTGCATCGAGGAGTACTACCTGCATTATCCTTTCGTCAGGGAATTCGTAATGGACAGAGGATCAGAGTTTACCTGCCAGGAGGTGCAAGAACTGTTAGCAAGATATGGTGTGGCAGCCAACTACACCACGGCCGCGCACCCCCAGGCAAATGCCCCCGTAGAGAGAGGACACAGTACCATTACGAACCTCCTGGCCAAATGAACCGAAGGTAAGCCTAATCAATGGCCAAGATACCTAAGGGCGGCTTTCTTTGTCAAGAACATTACAGTAAAGAAATCCACCAAGTACGCACTTGCGACGCTGTGGTACGGAAGGCATGCCACCTTCCCTATCGAAAGCTTTCTTAAGACGTGGAGGCGCCGGGATCTGGAAGTCAACCTGTTATTTGAAGAGTTGCTCGATATTCGGGCGCGGCAGGTCGGGGCGATAGAAGAAAGGATCCAGGAGGTATCTGATCAGGTGGCGAGAAGCCGTATGGATGATAAGGCCCGATGGGATCAGTCTGCGCGAGTGAGGAAAGTACCCCATGGCAGTCGGGGATGTCATGCTTCTCTACGATACGTCGTTGGAGAAGCAGTGGTCCAGGAAGCTCGATAAGAGATGGTTAGGTCCCTACCGAATTGCACGGATCGGAGACTTCGGAGCGTACCAGATCGAGGAGTTAAATGGGACTGAGTGGAAGGATTGGGTATCTGGAACGCGACTGAAGAAATTCGTGGTGAGAGAAGAGGTAAGAGAGATGACCTGACCCCCCCTAGAATAGAAGTAACAGGGTGTGTAAGTTAGGAAGGATGCATGCTGCATAAGTGTGGTCTGGTTTGAGCTTGCTCTGATTATCACCTGCTTGCTTACCCCAACGTGTGCCTGTTGTCTCCTTCGCCTGTTGTACAGGTCTGACTTTACGAAGACAGCCATGCCAAGAGGAGGGAAGGGGACGCGGCCGCCTCAGAGGCCGTTGGGCGCAACAGGAGGATATGAGCAGCATGGGCCTCGCCATCGAGAGAGTACTCCAGTCTTCAATGATGGGGACATCGAGCTATTCCTGGACAGTTTCTGGGAGCATGCGAGGCGTATGGGCTGGACCGTCACTCAGGCGATTGAGAGATTGAAGGGAGCAGGTAGGTTCGAAGAGCCCATTGCCAGGATTCGTAGGGAGGTGACGACGAGGCAGGAGGTGGAGATAAGGACGGAGGAGTTGCGACCCTCGCATGTGGGACCTGATGGCAGGCCGATCCGCCTGGAAATTGGAAATGCGTCGGACTTCATCCCCGCGTTTGAGTGGTTCATGCAAGAGCAGGGCATACAGAGAGATGACTGGATGCGGACACTACCACTCTGGACCAGGAAGGCGGAAAGGCCACTGGCTATGCARATCAGGGACATGGCACGAGATTGGGAGAGTTGCAGGGCACATTTGAGAGAGGCCTTTCGACGACCAGAGCTCCCTCAGCCCAGAGTCGAGAGGCGGCAGAGGAGTCAGAGGCTGAGGGACGCTGAGCCCAGGGAGGCGAGACCATCTCGAGGAGGACGGAAGGCCCTAGCCAGAAGAGAGCAGGAGTCAGAGGATGAGGAGCGAGGGGCATACCCTTAGTGTGGGTTGGGGCCAGTGGAGTTCCATCGTTTTACTGAGGGTGGATTGAGGAGGTCGCCAACACACACACAGGGGGAGCCACCAGCGTCAGAGGGGCCCTTGAGGGAATTGAAGATGCATTTAGATATTTCTCGGTGGAGGGCGTCGCTTCAGGGTGAGGGGCATG